TAGGCCGGGCTCGGTGGCTCAAGCCTGTAATCCCAGCACTTTGGGAGGCCGAGACGGGCGGATCACGAGGTCAGGAGATCGAGACCATCCTGGCTAACACGGTGAAACCCCGTCTCTACTAAAAAATACAAAAAAACTAGCCGGGCGAGGTGGCGGGCGCCTGTAGTCCCAGCTACTTGGGAGGCTGAGGCAGAAGAATGGCATAAACCCGGGAGGCGGAGCTTGCAGTGAGCTGAGATCCGGCCACTGCACTCCAGCCTGGGCGACAGAGCCAGACTCTGTCTCAAAAAAAAAAAAAAAAAAAAAACCTCAATAATTAGAAGGGCCCATTCGGCATTTTTAACAAAAAACAAAGCCAGGGTTTACTTTTGTATTATGTAAAAAGGATCTGATTAACAGATCATTGATGTTAACAAGTTTAATTCAAAAAGAATAAACTGTTTTTCAAGTACCAGAGGCACTGCTGGAACAGGATGAAAACAGATACACCAGTTACTAATTACTCCTCACTCTTCAAATTGATTCCCGTAAAGACTTCTACTTAGCAAATACTTTAAAATAGGCTGTGTACAGGAAAGAAATAATAGCACATGTATTTGTATTTTATTATTCAGACTGGCTGCCATCCCAACTAGATAAAGGAAGTTTTACTGGGCTGTAATATCCAGCACTTGCATGTTTTCAAAGCACTCTAAACTGGTTTTCTCCCTCTTCACAGGATCAGCAGGGAACACGTTCCCCATTTTGCAAGGAAACCAAGGCCAGGAGAGGTGAAGCAGCATACCCCAGGCCACCACTCAGACCTCTTGCCTCCAAGTCCAAGGCTCTTTCCTCTCCCAACTCTCCTGATCTGTGACCTCCTGGGCATTCTGGCCAATCTGCTTCCCTCTGACTTTGCAGACTGCCCTGATGGAGCTACCACGAAGGCAGGTGGGAAGCCTGCAATCTCCTGACCAGCCTGTGCTTCTTGGTTCTTACGCAAGCCAGTTCTTTTCTGTGAAATATTTATCAGCAGCTCTCAACCACCAGGTCTATGAGGGTCCCTATTGTCCCTCAGCCAAGGCTGCTCTCTCCCCGAGACCCCCACCTCACCAGGAGCACAAGGATACATGCAACTATTGCAGGAAACGTAGGTTCTTCCTGCAATACAATTCAAGCTGCTAACATTTACTGAGTACCCACTGGTGGTTGTGACGATGAGGTAATGTATGTAAAATTCTAGCATAGTCTGTGACAATGTATGTAAAGTTCTTAGCATAGTCACTATGCTGAGAGGTAATTATATAAAGTTTAGTCACTATGCTAAGAACTTTACATAATCACCTCATCCTCACAACGACCCAACAAAAATTCTTACCCCTATTTTACAGGTGAGGATATTGAGGTTCAGAAGGGCTAAGTGACTTGCCCAAGGTCATCCAGTTAATTGTTGAGGCAGTATTCATAATTCAAGTCTGTCAGACTCGAGAATCCACTTTATTTTTCCTCTGCTACACGGCCCTGGCTCCCTACTTTACAAGTACTTAGAGATCGAAAGCAAAGTGGAAAAGAAAAAGTGAGGCAAGACGGAGGGGCTTTTACATTTTCACTGCCTGGCTCCCAACCCAGACTCTGGCAAGGCTAATTCCATGATGTTTCACTCAGCGACAGTCCCACCACGCTGGAGCCCTGGGGAGCTGACCAGAGTCAAAAGGCTCCCTGGCAGGCTTGTTCTGGCAGCTGCCCAGTCGACTTGTGCTAACACAGCAACAGGCACAGGAAAGGGTCTAGAAAGAGTGGAAAAGCACCAGACACTGAACCGCTGCAGGGAGAGAAGTGATTCCTGCCGTGCTCGGACAGGATAACGCTATACTAAAGCCAACACCATCACAGGGCTGGGAAGAGACGGACGCAAGTGGTGGGAGCAAAAAGCCCCAAGCACGTCCACTCACTCATGTGTTTCAGTGAACTGTGACTGGAAGGCCAGTCAAAAAGAGGGTCACTGCCTCCAAGGTGAATCAGCAAGCATGGAAGAAAACCAGTCTGTACCTTGGTTCATTCCAGCAACCCTGACCTGTCTATACCCACATCTACATAAACCTTGCTACCTAATGTCACCTGAGCAGAGGCAAGAGCACATATAGTATCTTACAGCCACTGCAATGACTGATTTCAGCCAGCCTGTGGGAAAGAAAGATCTAGCTGAGAATACTAATAGACTTGCTAGAGGAAGAAATTCAGTGACGACGTGCTCTTGGAAAGGAAAGTATTTAAAAGGGGGCACAATCAAAGTGAGACTGGAAGAAGGGAGCCACCTGGATTCCGAAAGATAGGGCTCTCTCGACCAGACACCGAGTGCAGGCCAATGGGTGGTGACAGGGATATTTTAAAAGATCTGAAAATCCAAAAATGTCCGTGGGAAAATGTGTTTGCTATTATTTCTGTAGGCTTTCCATCCTCACATTTTTCTTAGGTTATTAAGCTGTCTTTGTACAGGATGCCCAAAAGGGTTTTGAGGGAAACCAATTCTGGGATCTAATATTTGTCACAAGTTGATAGATCGAAAAAAAAAAAAGCATATTTCTTAGGTGTCATCAGAAGAAGGAGGCAGTTTGAGAGGTCACAAATTGGCAGCCACTGGGTCAAATTAACCCCACAGGTAGGTTAGCATGCTTAGAATTTTGTAAAATGAACTATCAACACTTAAAAATCAGAAGGTTACACACACCAGACAACCCTGAATTTCTAGCATCTTTTCTTTTTTTTTTTTTTTTTTTTTTACACTCCCTGGAACTCTTAGAACATCTTTTAGAAAAATTCAAAGATCTGGTACCACTGGATGAGCAGCAGATTGGAAGGTGAGTCGCCACTGCCCCCTTTCGGCAGGTCTGTACTTTCTGCCAGCGTGGTGGCTCATTCGTCACCTGACCTCTGCCGGCACCAGTGTTTGGTTTAGCCCAGGGAAGTGATTGCAGGCTTGGTAATGCCCAGGACTGCCATAGGGTGGCAGCACTGGTGTGCCAATGAGGCCTGCTCATCAGCCAGAACCAGAAATCTCCTTACTTGGTAGCTAACAGCCTCTCCCCAGGCTCCATCGGATTTGTTCCCTGCGAAGCAACAGCAGATCATTTCCACATTCCCACTAGGCCTCAGTGACCTAGAAGAAGCCAATGACTCAACCTGCTCCCTCCTCTCAGGCCACCACCAGGTCCTGGAAGGTACCTCCAGCTGGCACCTCTTCACAGCTGGCACCTCTGTTCAGGAACTCCACCCTCACCCACCTGTGAACACCATCAGGCCTCAGGAGAGACAGTCTAAGAAGGAGGGCCAATACCTACTCCCTTTTAGAGGCAGATTAATTCACGAAATGCTCAGTACTGCCCTTTGCTGACTTAAACATCAGACGGCTTCAAGAGGCAACAGCTTCTTATGCTTCTTCCTGCCGTCTGCTTTTACTCCCCTCACAGCCTTACCAGCAACATCTTAAGTGGTAACATTTAGTAGAAACTCCTAGAGCCCTTTAGGAAAGACATTTGGTGTTATGCATGAGATCCTCAAAACTGCTCATTTATCCCATTTCATCCAAAGTGACATTTACTATTTTTACTGTTTATTCCAAAATGCAGGAAAAGCTTCATATAAGATATTCATGGCAGTATCTAAACAAGTGAACAACCAGAAACAATTGAAATGTCCGGCAATATGGAAACTGTCCAGAATAAACTTATGCCATACTCCCACTTGATAGACAATTATGGTGCTATTAAAAACAACTACAGCCGGTGTGGTGGCTCATGCCTGTAATCCCAGCACTTTAGGAGGCCAAGGCAGGCGGATCACAAGGCCAGAAGTTCGAGACCAGCCTGACCAACATGGTGAAACCCTGTCTCTACTGAAAATACAAAGATCAGCCAGGCGTGGTGGCGCACACCTGTAATCCCAGCTACTCAGGAGGTTGAGGCAGGAGAATCGCTTGAACCCGGGAGGCAGAGGTTGCAGTGAGCCGAGATCGCATCACTGAACTCCAGACTGGGCAATACAGCGAGACTCCATATTTTAAAAAAAAGAAAACTACAGGCTGCCAGGCACGGTGCCTCACACCTGTAATCCCAGCACTCTGGGGAAGCTGAGGCAGATGGAATCACTTGAGGTCAGGAGTTCGAGACCAGCCTGGCCAACATGGTGAAACCCCCATCTTTACTAAAAACACAAAAACTAGCCAGGCGTGATGGTGCACACCTGTAATCCCAGCTACTTAGGGAGCTGAGGCAGAAGAATCACTTGAACCCAGGAGGCAGAGGTTGCTTTGAGCCAAGATCACACCACTGCATTCCAGCCTGGGTGACAGAATGAGACTCCATCTCCAAAAAAAAAAAAAAAAAAAAACTACAGGCCAAGGCCGGAGGATCGTTTGAGACCAGCCTGGGAAACATAGTGAGACCTGGTTCTACAAAAAATTAAAAAATTAGTTGGGCATGGTGGCATACTCCTGTAGTCCCAGCTATTTGGGGGGCTGAAGTGGGAGGATCACTTGAGCCCAGGAGGTCAAGGTTGCACTGAGCCGTGAATGATGACCACACAAAATGGAAAAATGATAATGTGAGAAAAGTATATAAAATTAAATGTACAGTAATAACTATCTTTAAAACCTATGCAGAGAATTAGTAAAAGACAACAAAATGTTAATGGTTGTTATTAACGAGCTGGGAACATGGGTGCCCTTTTTAAAATCCCTACCAAATTGTCTTGAATGTGAGTATATACTTTTATAGGGAAAGGCGTGTGCGTGTGTGTGTGGTCTACTTCCATTTAGACTTGAAGCTGCTACGGCCAATTGTAATGATGGTAAAAAGGTTCCTGGGAATCTGTGCCTCCAGGGTTCAATGCAACCGCACTAGTAAAGCAGTTTCCAGGGCTCCTTGACACCCTTTAATACCAATGTTATCCTGCTCTAAAACGCCTGTACTTGCCTAACTCCTAAAAAGACTCCCAAATACCATCTAGATGATAAGATTCGATCATTATGGTTCTCAGATACCACTTTAATCAAGTTTTGCACTCTACAGTGATGGGGGTAGATGATGGGGACTGTTTTCAAGCAAATTCACGAGGCACATGTTCGTCCCTGCCCCAAAGTGAACAGTCTGGGCTTCCCAGAACAGAAAAATGCTTTCCTTCCCGGGAGAATCCCATTCCTGAGCTGACAAGACAGATTTCAGTAAGAATGAGCACAAAGGATAGGGCAAAACAGTGAAGGGAGCCAGGTGCATATTTGAATTCTTCCCAGTGCAGACTGGAACTAGACATGCAGGTATCCCTCCTAAAGGCAACACCCAAATCCCAGCCATTCCCACTCAAGGCCAAACCACCTGCCCACAAAGATTGACAGCCAACGTTCATCTCATAACACTCCTCCCAGCAGTGCACCAGTAAACTCAGATGCCTGAGTGCTTGTGGCCACCACACAACAGATGCGGCCTTCCTCTTCACTGGCCCTTTGGCTGCCGCTGGGTCTGCCTGGACATCAAGGAGCAGCCAGTATTTGTGTGGCTGTGTGGTGTGGGAGGGGCCAGAATAAGCAACAAAGCCAATTAGATGTGGGTTCTGGGGCTCTGTCAACATGGTAGCAGGACAAGTCACCGCCCACAGTAGGACCGTAGGGCCCTGTGTCCTCCATCAATTCTTCTCTGGGCGGTTTCTGTTCAGCACAGCTTTCGGGGCAAATTCTAGCTTGTCCTTAAGGCTCACCACCTGCGTGTGGTCCTTGCCTAGAAGCTCATCCAGCTTGCGATCCTCCCGGCGCTCTGAGATGCTCTTTTCCTCCTCCACGGGCTGGGGGTCCTTTCCCCTGATGAACCATTCCAGGTGGTAGCCCACAGCCCCGACCACGAAGGCAACAGGGAATGTGACATAAGGAGCATAGGTACGAACCACGGTCCAAAACACAGGCCACATGACATCTGTGGAAGAGCACAAGGCAGCATTAGAGAGAACCCAGCATCACCTCCCACCAAATAAGAGCAACCCACTAGGGCTCTCCACTTACCAGGCAGCCTGGCACAATGTTTTTTACTTTTTGTTTTGTTTTGTTTTTGAGACGGAGTCTTGCTCTGTCGCCCAGGCTGGAGTACAGTGGTGCGATCTCGGCTCACTGCAACCTCCACCTCCCAGGTTCAAGCAATTATCTGCCTTAGCGTCTCAAGTAGCTGGGATTACAGCTAATTTTTGTATTTGTTTAGTAGAGACAGGGTTTCACCGTGTTGGTCAGGCTGGTCTTGAACTCCTGACCTCGTGATTCGCCCACCTCAGCCTCCCAAAGTGCTGGGATTACAGGCGTGAGTCACCGTGCCTGGCCAGCCTGGCACAACTTACTGAGCACCCACCCCCATGCAGAGCAATGCGAGAGGTGGGTCCCTGAAATAATCTAGGAAATTTCAAAAGATTCCATTGTTAGGGAAGAAGGAGGGATCTCCAGTTTACAGACTGTAATCTTTGACAAGTGTGCACCAATATATGACAATGTTCCCCACAAGGGGACCTCTGAGCCTTACCTAATAGAGCTTCAAGCCCATTGACCCCAGGCCCTAGTTTGCCAACATTTCAAGAAGGGAAAAAGACGCCTTTCTCTGCTCTATGAAATTTCTCCATGAGCGCAGCCAGCCACCTTCTCCCCATGACACACAATTCTACAATTCTCCACCATATGAAAAGTCGTTCCTTTTCCTCATGTAAAGCATAAGGAGTATATTTAAACAGTCAAATACATAATGTGTTACCTAATTATTCTGGATTTTAGGTAAATAGATAATGGTTTTATCTTATTCTGAACCTGGCTTTTCTAACAAGGGGACAAACCTATACTTCACAAATCTGCTGACTAAATCACTTTCAAAGAATCCTATCTTGGCTAAAGACGGTGGCTCACACCTGTAATCCCTGTTACTCAGGAGGCTGAGGCAGGAGAAATCACTTGAATCTGGGAGGCGAGGTTGCAGTGAGCTGAGATTATGCCACTGCACTCCAGCGCAGGCGGCAGAACGAAAACCCGTCTCAAGAAGAAAAAAAAAATTCCTGTCTTCAATGAAACCCATACCGTCGTATTTACATAAAAAGCTCCTGAAAATATCACAAATCATTATACATACTCTGGATACCGTAGAACTTGAAGATTTACTGTGAAAAAACACTGTACAAGCCCTGGCCGGGAGCTGGGGCGGGGGTGCGGGGACAGGGAGAGGAGTGGAATTGTCCCAGGGCCTCCTGAAATGAAGTAGGGCAATGCCAAAGTAATGTAAAAACACACAAAATGGGTCACTCTAATGGTCATTCCGTCTCAAATGATTATTACATTATCAATTATCAAAGATCATTCACAGTTATAATAACACAGCTACCATGTATTGAGCACTTATTACATGCTAGGCCTTGGGCTAGGCAATCGTATGCACTCTCTCTCTTAATCCTCATGTCCACCACGTGAGGTAGATACATAACCCACTATCAGAGGGTTAAGAGACTTACCCAAAAATATCCACTAAAAGATCTTTCTGTTTATGCCCCCGTAGGTACTTCTCCAACACTGCTATCTCTGATCTAAAGTGAACAATCGAAACCTCACCAAGGATAAGATGATTCTCTCCCTCTCTCTTTGGTTCCCAATTCTCTTTGAAGGAATCCCATTGTTCTCTGGACGTAACACTATAAGGCAGCAGTCCGCAACCTATATTTGGCACCAGGGACCAGTTTCGTGGAAGACAATTTTTCCACAGATTGAGGGTGGAGAGGGATGGTTTCGGGATGAAACTGTTCCAGCTCAGATCATCAGGCATTAGATTCTCATAAGGAGCACACAACCCGGATCCCTCGCATGCGCAGTTCACAATAGGGTCTGCACTCCTGTAGGAATCTAATGCCACTGCTGATCTATCAGAAGGTGGAGCTCAGGCGGTAATGCTTCCCAGCTGGCCCACCGCTCGCCTCCTGCTGTGCGGCTCCGTTCCTAATGGGCTGAAAACCACCACCTGTCTGTGGCCCAGGGGGTTGAGGATCCCCCCAGTAAGGGAGCATCATGAAATTTAAAATCATAAATAAATAAATAAATAAAACTGCAGCATCTCCAAGACTCCCCTCCTTATTGTCTTAGCACCAGGCACTATGACAATTTACACACTAACCATCACCTGATCCTCATAACACCTCTATGATGTAGGAATTATTAGCCCAGGCTCTTGTTAAGGCCACAAAGGCTCACAGACATGATGTTAACTTACCCAAAATCACCAGAAGTGATAGAGCCACTGATTTTGAACCCAGGCCTCTCCAACTTCAAAGTCTACACTCTTTCTAGCGAACACACTGCAGAGGTATACGGTTTCTGTTCAAATCCTGGATTTGGAGAGAGCTTCCTACAGTTTTTTTCCCATCAGCCTGGCATTTCATTACCTAGAAGAGCTTCCCCTTTCCCAAACCCTGAGATTATACTCAGGGATTTGTGAAATTCAGAGACATAACAATAGTTAAAAGAGGCACCTCTGAAGAATCCCAAACCTAATACTTCCTCATTTTACTTCCACCTTTAAAGCAAGTCCTCTGTAGAAGTAAATGCTTCCCTAAATAGCAACTGTCCAGACTTTCAAATCTGTCTTAAAACATATCGAGCCTGAGTTCACAACGATCTCTCACATGCAGCATAAAGTCTCTCTCTACCGTCCTGCTCACATTCTAATCATTCCCAAGTAAGTCAATTCATTCCTTTATTCAACACTTACAACCACTTGCGCTGTGTCAGGCACGGTGCTGGCTTACCCTGTTTGCATTTCTCAAGACACTTTAAGCTCCAAAAGGCTAAGCACCATGTCTGTCTGGCCCCATTGTGCCCTATCCATCCAGGCACCTCTCCCACCCTGCCTGGCAGAGTGCCCAAAAAAGGTCTGCTGAACGCATGAATGACAGCCCAAACAACTCCCTAGTGTAAAATCACAACATTCTCCACCCACTCTCCCCCAGAAGGTGGCAGGAGCATAACAGACGCCTTTGCTGATTGCAAAAACCTAAAGACTCCATCATAGTCATCCCCAGACAAGGTATCACAATGAAAGAGGCAAAAGTGTCTGAAAAACACTGTGACGCATATTTCCAGCCCGGCATGGAGGACGTCTGCCAAAAGCATCCGGTAAAAGTCAGCTGAGTTGCTGGGAAACCTGCCCCAGTGCGGGGGCCCGGAGGCCCAACGAGGCCAGAAGCCGTAGTCCTAAATTCAAGAACTGCTAACAAGGACAGAGGAGGCCTGAGAAGGTGAAAGAATTAACCCTGACAGTCACTCAAGCGCAGTCCAGGAATGGGAGCGCAAGTGAGGTCAGGGTCCATCCAAATGACTACCCTTCTCCCTTCTGTGGGGCTCCCGGTCCACTGCCCCTAGCCCACCTCATTCGTGGCCTCATCAACGTCCGTCCTCACTGAGGTGCCGATAAGCCCTGTCTGCGGAGGGCTACCTGGGCTGCCAGACTGGGCACCAGAGCACCCGCCAGACAGTGGGGCTGGCAGGTCTGGCCGGGACCGGGGTGGACCCTAGCGATCACTCCTCCCGTAACTCAGAGGTTACGGGCCTGGGCTGACCGCACCTGCTCGCCGGGACCGCGCGCTCACCTGCGGCCCAGCCCACACTCCCCAGTGTGGCCCCCGCTCTCCGCCCGCTCGCCGGGAGCACGGAAGTCGCCGCTCCCAGCGGCCCGCGGGACCTTGCCCTGTGACCCTGCCCACTGGCCGCCAGCTCTCGGAGCGCAGGGATTGGCTGAACTTTAGCCAAAGGACGGAAGGAAGCTAGGCGTCCGCAACCGGGCCCCACTGCGCTGAAATGGACGTCGCGCCCCCTGGTGGCCTGGATGTTTCTCAGTGCTGTCGCCACGTGCTTTCTGCGTGGAAAAAGTGAAAGATCATCCAGTCATTTTTTTCAACTGATGTTTATTAGGTGTCTTCTAAGACCTAGGTCTTGGCACGCAAAAACAAAAGACATGATCCCTGACCTCAAGCAGCTCTTCTTAGGAAAGTATAATTTAGTGCTTTAAGACCTCTTGGGATCCGGGCTAGCTTTCTAGTGACCTTGGGAACATTATTAACCTGTCTGAGCCTCCCTTCCCGTTCTGTGTAGAGGTAAAAACACCCATTTCGCAGGGATGGTGTGAGGGTTGGATGAGACAATATTTGTAAAGTACTGTGGCAGGCACACAGCCAGCAGGGAAATAAATGTGGCTAGTGTTAGTGTAAAAATAATTGAAATATAGTAAAACCTAAGTCTTACATGACCTCTTGGGTACAAGTATTCACTTCCTCCTCTGTGTCCCCACTGTACCCTATACAGACATCAATTTTATCATATACAGAAAAGTCCCAAAGCTCAAACTTCTTAACGGTCCCACAAGGCCCTTCCTACCTTCATCCCACTAATCTCAGCCTGCATATTTATTTTGCTCGCACATACAAAACCCGGCAGACCACGCTGTTTCACACCCAGTGAATTACTGATGCTTTTTCATCTACCTAGAGTGTCCTTCCCACCTTTTTTTTTTTTTTTTTTTTTTCTTTTTAGTTTCACTCTTGTTGCTCAGGCTGGAGTGCAATGGCGCGATCTCGGCTCACCACAACCTCCACCTCCCAGGTTCAAGCGATTCTCTCCTGCCTCAGCCTCCCGAGTAGGTGGGGTCACAGGCATGCACCACCACGCCCGGCTAATTTTGTATTTTTAATAGAGAAGGGGTTTTTCCATGTTGGTCAAGCTGGTCTCGAACTCCCCACCTCAGGTGATCCGCCTGCCTCAGCCTCCCAAAGTGCTGGGATTACAGACGTCAGCCACTGCGCCCGGCCGCTTTTTTTTAAACAAGATCTCGCTCTGTCACCCAGGCTGGAGTGCAGTGGCACAATCATAGCTTACTGCAGCCTCGACCTCCTGGGCTCAAGTGATCCTCCCACTTCAGCCCTCCGAGTAGCTGGGACCACAGATGCACACCACCAGGCCTCGCTAATTTTTGTACTTTTTGTAGAGACTGGGTTTCACCATGTTGCTCAGGCTGGTCTCAAACTCCTGAGCTCAAGCAATCTGCCCACCTCAGCCTCCCAAAGTGCTGGGATTACAGGCATGAGCCACCGTGCCTGCCCATGCAGTGCCCTTCCCGCCTTTCTTTACTATGCCAAATTGTGCTCTGGCACAATTTTCAAACTTCAGGGACACCTCCAGAGGAAGCCTCATACATAGACTGCTTACCACGTTAGGCACCCTTCCCCTATTATCTCAAAAGCTCAAAGCTAAGTTCTGGCAGTTAAGATGGAGAAAGGGGAACAGTGTTGTAGGGACCAAGGTTCACTGAAAATCAACTGACAAAAGGCAGATTAATAGGAGAAAAGACATACAAAATTTTATTTTAACGTGCATAGCACGGGGTGGGGGGCGAGGGGGCGGGAAGGGAAGGGTCACAGGAGAATGATTACCCAATAACCCAATGGGGTACAGAAGCTTATACACCCTTTTTCAAAGGGGAAGGGGAGAGATGGAGAATATAGACAATTCTTTTGAGGGAAGCACGTGATTCTTAGGGCGAAAAAATGGACAGAAATTAACTTGAAAATGATTCTCTTTAGAATTTGAATGCGCCCGAGAAGCAGGCATCATCTTGTGAAAAATCCATCCAGGCGTAGTTGCCTTCCTCAGTCTTCTTTTCTGAGATAGATGAGATTTCGCGGAGGGGAGGAAGGCAATTTTGTTTCTTTTGGAAAGAAGTTTTCTTGATTAGATTAGGACATCCTAGAGAGAGTGCCTCCCTATACTTGGGAGAGAAGGTTAGAGGGACCTTGATTCTGAGGCAGCTTTGAAGGCCTCTCACCATGTCAAAGCGCCAGTCTTTGGGGTATCGCTTTCTGAGCCCCAACAGTACAAAGAAATATTTAGGAGACCGTGGTTAGCAGAACCTGTTCACTAACTGAATATGTGGAGACGAGAAGGGAACAGAACTGCCCAGAGTAACTGGCATTTGGCCAGCCAATCATGTGCTAGGCATTGGGGATGCAAAAATGGCTGGGACCAACCTGCCTCCAGAGTTCTCTGACTAAAGAAACAGATGGGTCTACAAAATGTCAATAGAATATAAGAAATGTGATGACAGAAGTATACACACGCAGCACAGAGGAGGATCTTCAGCCCGGCCAGGAAGATTCAGGGAAGGCTCCCTAGAGGAACCAGGCCTTGAGCTGAGTCTTGAGTCATGGCTAGCAGTTCCCTCAAGCAGAATTGCTGAGGGGCTCAGGAGCACAGACTTAGAAATCAGATAGCCATGGGTTCAAATCCTGACTCTTGTCTGCTTATCTCAGAAAAGCTATTTACACTCTTTGTTTTAAAAAAAGACAATAATAGTACCCACTCCTAGGGTTGCTGTGAGTATTAAATCACCTAAATGTGTATAAAGTGCTTGGCATAGTAGTTTGCACCTTCTCAGTGCTCAGTAAATGGTTATTGACATGTTAAGTATTTCCCAACTGTATTGCTCCTTCTGTAATGTCCTATGTCCATTTGTGGCATTACTCATTCATTAAGCCAGAAATCTGAGTGACACCTTCAAGGCGTCCCATCTTTGTGTTATTCTCCAGATCCAGCTTGCAGCACGTATGCCTCCTAAATGTCTCTCAAAGTCAACATCATTCTCTCTTACCTGGACCACTTTAGCAGCTCCCTCAATGGTCTCCCTGCTGTCTTGTTGCCCCCTCCAGTCCACATCCTGTCTTTTGGCCATAGTTTTATCTTTAAATAAAACTATGAGCCAATAAAACTATGAGGCCTCCATCTTAGCCCCCCACCCCCAACTCTATGGGTTCCTCCTGGCCATATCTCCTCCACGCCCTCCACAGCCACCATAACCTGTCACCCTCTCCAGCCTGTGCTTTCATTCCCAACACACATGTGCCTCCACGGCTTTGCCCAGGTTTGTCCCTTGGCCGGAAATGAATTTCTCCCTTCTCTTCCTTGACTACAAAATGCTAATTCATCCTGCAAGATCCAGCTCACAAGGCAGAAAGCTCTCCCAGACTGCCTGTGCTATGGTTGTACCCTCCAAAACTTACACTGAAATTTGTCATTGTAAGTATTAAGAGGTGGGGCCTTTAAGAGGTTATTAGGCCATGAGGGTTGCACTCTCATGGGTGGAACTGACGCCCTTATAAAAGGGCAAGTTCAACTCCCTCTTGCCCTCTCTTCCCTTCTCACCTGCCATGGGATGACACAGCAAGAAGGCCCTCAAGAGTTGCCAGCACCTTGACACTGAATTCCCCAGCACCCAGAACTGTGAGCCAATAAATACCTGTTCATTATAAGTTACCCAGCCTGCAGTATACTGTTATAGCAGCACAAAATGGACTAAAACACCCTGGTTGCTAGAGGCTCTCTCCTCTCTCAACCCCTTGGCCCCTCTGAGAGAGCAGGTCTCCCTTTGCACCATAACTTTCTGTTTATGTGCTGGCCATGGCCAGACTGTAAGCAACTTAAGCCAAAGGACTGTACCTAATCATTCACTGATCTATGGGGCTCAGCATAACTACCTAGGCCACAAGAACCAAAGGAGACTCATCCACACCAGACATAGAAAAGTCTATGAAAAGTCATAGACCCATAAAATGCTGTATAATGTAAAGGTTAAACTCAGACTCAGCCACTTCCTGGCTTCATGGTTTGAGGTAAGCTGTTTAAACCTCTCCACACCCCAGTTTGCTCATCTGTAAATGGGGATGATAACAATATCTGTTTTACAGCGTTGCTCTGAGTTCAAACCTCACCCATGCCCCAATTTTAGAGATGATAAAACAATCTCAGAGAGGTAAACTGACCCAGCCCTTCTACTGGAGACCCTTAGACAGTCATCCAATATAAGTCTTCCCAAACCTGGCTGCTCAGAATCTTGTGGAGCACTTGTTAAAACCTTATTCGAGGGCAGAGTCTATTCACTAAGTCTTGGACCAGGCTCCAGAGTCTGTGGGATCACCTCCAAACTAACTGCTTTTGGGAATTCAGATCACATTACAGCCCTCCTCACCTTCCAGGCTCATGTGAGTTTGTATTGTGGACCATCTCTTGCTTTTCAGAAGTTGTCTACCAAACCAGTCTGTAAAACGTTCATGCCACTCTTCTGTTCAAAACCCTTCTATGGCTCCCTACAGCCCACAAGACCCAGGCCACCTGCCTCCATGAGACCCAAACACTGATATAATCAAGACCCTGTGCTCCCAATGTCTCTTCCTCCTCCAGGCCTTTGCACAGCTGTTCCCTGATCTTGGAACATTCTTCTCAACCCTGGCCCTCCTTCAGCAGCTAATCCCTAATCATCTTTCTGGCACTCACCCCTGTATTTTAACTGCTTGCTTATTTGTCTGTTTTTCCCATATGACCATAAGCTCCATTAAGGGTAGAAACTACATCTTGTTCAAGGCTATTCCTGTGGCGCCCGAAAGGGATAAATGTCTGCTGAATAAATGAATGAGAAGAATTAGCTGATCCAGTGTGGCCCAGAAAAGCAGCCAATCCTGAAGGATTTTCCTCCTGCCTGGAGGTGACACACCAATCCAAAGGACTGCTCAAGAAGTGGAAAGGGACTTTCTGGGTGGAGAATGCCATCAGCCCTCTCTGGTCTAAGAAACCTGCAAAGCTAAAAGCTCATGATTTGGCATTAGACCTGGGTCCACCACATTTAGCCCTGCAACCTCAGACAGGTCGTGTAACCTGCCCTGAGCTTTGGCTTTCTCTTCTGTTTTAAGGACCAGCCACATTCATGTAAAGCACTCACCCCTTGCCTGACCCACACTGGCCACTCAATAAAGCCATCGATACTAGGTTCTGTTTGCCATTTAGCTTCCCAGGAGAGCTCTGTTCTTTGTACTTCCTCTTCCCCCACCCCAGCCTCCACCAAGGTGGCCACCCATAGGAGGCATCAGAAAATGTGGCAGAACTGAAGTTTTTCTGCTGCTGATCAGGAATGACTGGAGCAGAAGGAACATTGTGTCCCTAGGGGAAGGGAAACCAGTTATTTGTCAATACCTAACAATCACCACACTCCCGGTTTATCAAGCACATGCTGTGTGCTCAGCGAGCTCCGGACTTCCCTCTCTGGGGAACCCTGGGGACTGGGAGGCAGAATGGGATACAGCGAAACCGGAAAAGAGGAGAAATTGACACCCTCCCCCTCTTCACCCCACCTGGGCCCCTCCAAGAGGGTCCAGGTCCTTACTGTGGGCATCAGGGGGCCGAATCTCCTTTCCACCAGCTGGCCCATCCCTGGGAGGAGCTCAGGCAACACCCCTGCTGTCTCCAAACCAAGAGAGTGGGCTCCCGGCCCCTTCTCCCTTCACCCCCGTCCTCCCACACACGGGATGGAGGTGGCCTCTTCTGGAGAGAGCAGCTGGCTCGAGTGCAGTTCTGCCGTTTTATTTTTCCTGGGATACTCAAGGGGATGTGGGAACAGCCACAGGTGTGGTGAGGGGAAGCCCCCATCTCCCCTACCCAGCCGCTGGGAAAGGGGAGAGGCCCAGGCGCCCTGGTCCTGGGTTGGTCCAGCCACTGTGGTCCCTGGGCCCAGTGGGCAGAGGGCTGAGGATGGAGCCCCTGGGAGGGTGGGGCGGGCTCCTAGGCGGGGTTCGGGATTCTTCATAAAAAGCCACGAAGCTTGATCCCCACGAAGCCCAGCCCCGCGGGGTGGGGGGAGGGGACGCAGAGCCCAGATGGGGGGCCCGGCCCGGCCTGGCCCGTTGGGGGAAAGAATGGCAGAGATGGTGCCCATTGGAAGGAGGTGGGGACAAAGCGTCGGACCAGGTGGGCGGGGGATCCAGGTGAGGGGCGCAGGGCGGAGAGGCACGGCCCCCTGCCCAGCCCGGGCGCCTTCGCGTGGGGTCAGGAAGGTAAAAAACCCACGAGAGTGTGATGGGCCCGGGGGCTGGGGCGTGCGGTGCCGGTGGGGCGGGCGCACGGGGCGGCCCGCGTTCACAGTGACCTCGACGCTGGGTGTACAGTACGGGTGGAGAACCGCGGGCCCAGGCCGGGCTGGGCGGGCCGGACCGGTCACAGCCTGGTCTGGGCCTCGGGGATGTAGATCTCAATGCTGTCGGCGCTCTCGGTGGCCGAGCTGTGGCGGAAGGAAGCGGCGCGCTTGGCCGCCAGGAGCCGCTTGCGCGCTTCCTGCCGCTGCCGGTCCACGGAGTCCAGGGAGCGCTCCTTCACCGGCACGCCCCGGCCCCGCAGGGGCTTCTTTGGTATCGGCGGAGGGACCTTCTTCTCCTCCTGCGGAGTAGAGGACAGCGCTGAGCTGGGGCGCCGAACTATCCCAACACCCCGGTGCCCGCCCCCGGAGCGCTGACAACCGCGTGGCTCCGAACGCGATGGCGCTCAGAATCCGCCACGGATCCCGCGACCTGAAGCCCCACCTGCGCCTGTTCCGACAAGGTCAAATCCCCACATTTTCCACCAAAGCGCGGCGCGTTCGAGCGCCCCCTGGTGGCGCCGTTCTCAACAGCTCGCATCAGAACCGGGTTTTCACTGAGGGTCCCGACCCGGAGGAGGGAGTTCCCGACCCAGGCTCCGCAATGAGGGTGCACATACCAGGCCTCTGGCCCTCATCGCAGACAAGGTCCAGCGACCTGGCGGCTGAGGGGACTCTCAAGGCTCTGCCCTCGATGCCTAGGCCCGAACTGAAGACGGTCTGTCCTTCTGTAAGGTCTACTTTTGCCTTTTGCTCCTCCAGCTGCAGCCACCACTCCCCGCCCCCCCCCTCCCGCCCCCCCCCCCCCCCCGGGAAGCCTTGGGGTTCTGGCAGCTCAAGCACTGATGAGCACTGGGGCCAAGCAGACGGCAGTGGCCACGAGCATGGTCACTCTGGAAGGGGATGGTCACCTATCACCTGTCCAAGGCTGCCCTTGCTGCCCATGGGTCCCTTCCCCTGCCCCCTTGTTCGTCCCACCCTTCACCTCTCTGGGAAGGGGAATTTCCCAGAGTCTGGCCTCTTTGCCTGAAGGGACCCCAGCCCCACCTTAGGCTCCAGGAGTTTCCAGCTGTTGGCCTTGAGTTGCTGTAGCTCCAGGAACTTGAGGGTCACATCCTCGATGGAGAGCTGTAGGAGGTCCCAGAAACCCGCCAGGTCCTGGAAGGTGGGCACAGGGAACGCAGTGGGATCCTGCAGCAGAGGAAGACAGAGGGAAAGTGATTGGTCAGGGAGGTCTGAGCCCCAGGCAGGACTACCCAGGGAACCTGCCCCCGATAATTCTTCGTGGGTTCTTTTCTATTTTCCCTAAGTGTTGGCCAGTCTGAGAAACAAAGGGAAAGAGTACAAAAGAGGGAAAATTTAAAGCTGGGTGTCCAGGGGAGGCATCAGATGTCGGCAGCTTCCGTGATGCCCCCAAGCCACAAAACCAGCAAGTTTTTATTAGTGATTTTCAAAAGGGGAGGGAGTGTACAAATAGGGTGTGGGTCACAGACATCGCATGCTTCACAAGGTAATAAAATATCACAAGGCAAATGGAGGCAGGGCAAGATCACAGGACCAGGGCGAAATTAAAATTACTAATAAAAGTTTTGGGCACGCATTGTCATTGATAGTATCTTATCAGGAGACAGGGTTTGAGAGTAGACAACGCATCTGACCAAAATTTATTAGGCGGGAATTTCCTTGTCCTAATAGGCCTGGGAGTGCTACAGGAGACCAGAGCTTATTTCATCCCTTATCTACAACTGTAAAAGACAGACATTCCCAAAGCAGCTATTTCAGAGACCTCCCCTTGGGAATGCATTCTCCTTCTCAGGGATGTTCCTTGCTGAGAAAAAGAATTCAGCAATATTTCTCCTATTTGCTTTTGAAAGAAGAGAAATACGGCTCTGTTCTGCCCGGCCCACAGGCAGCCAGACTTTAAGGTTATCTCCCTTGTCCCCTGAAAATCGCTGTTATCCTGTTCTTAAGGTGCCCAGCTTTCATATTGTTCAAATACACATGCTCTACAAACAATTTGTGCAGTTAACACAATCATCACAGGGTCCTGAGGCAACATACATCCTCAGCTTACAAAGATGACAAGATTAAAAGATTAAAGACAGGCATAGGAAATCACAAGAATATTGACTGGGGAAGTGATAAGTGTCCATGAAATCTTCAGAATTTATGTTCAGAGATTGCAGTAAAGACAGGTGTAAGAAATTATAAAAGTATTAATTTGAGGAACTAATAAATGTCCACGAAATCTTCACAATTTATGTTCTTCTGCCATGGTGTCAGCCAGTCCCTCCATTTGGGGTCCCTGACTTCCCGCAACAAGGACAAGAGAAAGTCCTATCCACCCTAACTGCCAGGAACCTCAGCCTGGGAGAGTGGGTGGGGGCTGGGAGACAGGGGGACAAGAAAGAGCCCAGCCCTCCCTTCTTGTGCACAAACACCTGGTCCTACCTCCAGGCACAAGATTGACAGCTACCCCTGCAGGCATGCAGGCCTGGTCTCACCTCTGGTACACACACACTCTGGGTCACCTGCCTGTCTCACCTCCAGAACACACACACTCTGGGTCACCTGCCTGTCTCACCTCCAGAACACACACACTCTGGGTCACATATATCTGGTAGGATCTACTACTATGGGCACTCACCATGCTTTGCTGACACAGCCGGAAGAACTGCTGAACCTTCTGGGACAGGAGAAGTTGTGTGCTGCCCACAGCACTGCGGATCTTCTCCAGGACTAGAAAGCAGAAGGAAATTCAGGGAGGGAAATGATGCATCTCCTTCCCCAGACTCCAGGAAGTCTGCCCTGAATGGTGACCCCTCGGTTGCTTGGCACTGTCTATCCATCAATCTTCTCCAGCCCCAGCCCCATCCTATCCTCAAGTTCATAACAAGTTCTTGCTCCACTACACCAAGACTGTATCCTCAGACCCTGATGTTCCCTCCTTCATACAGCCTACATTTCCTGAGTGCTCATCCTCCTTTATCCTTTCTCCCTCCCATATCAGAAAACAGACAGAAACCAGCCCCAGCCTAACCTATAGCCTTGGCCGGGGCATTAGCTCAGTGACCACCCATTGGCTAAGCTTTGTTCATCACTCACCAGTGCATGCAAGACTCCTTGGCTCTTTAAGAATGACCAAGTAATTTAATGTACGTAACACATCTTCAGAGTCACTATCCCCTCAACTCAGAGATTCTGGAGTAAGACTGTGTCTCTCAGTGGATCTGACTTACAGGAAGGGCCAGGCTTTCCCTCGGGCCAGGGCCATGTCTCCCTGGCTGAATCTCCCTCATCTACGCCTCAGACAGGATCTGACATTGTGAACTGCCTCCCTCCCTGTAATCTTGGTCCCACCACCTGGATCCCCACACCAGTCCAGATCTTAGTCCCCATAAACTTGGTGATTTGGACTAGTAGCCATCCATAGAAGGTCCAGCCCTTTGGCCTGCATTGTCTGCAGTCCCAGCCCCTGGCCTCTAAAGCTGCACCGTGTGCACCCTGCTCCCTTCCAAGAGCTCCCAGCATGCCTTGCTGCCAATGTTGACCCGCCACGCTCCAATGCAGACCAGTGAGGCACAAACTGAAGGGGCCTCCTGTTACACTGCAGCCCCAGCTACCCCCATCAGGGTCGCCTGAGCACACACTAGGCCATGGTCCCCAGAGTCCCCTCATTCCGATGCCGTGACTCACTCTCCTCGGGTAGCTCATAGTCCTCCGCCTCACGCTCCATCTGCTGGCACCAGTGCTCCAGCTTCTCCACCTCTGCCCGCAGCATCTTGATGAACCACTCGCCGTCCCGTGGGCAGGGGGACGCGCGGCCTGAGTCGGGGAGGCTACGTGAACCGCGCTCTATCCAGGAGTCACGGCGGCCGGCCCCGGGGCCGGGGGTGGGGGCGGGGGCGGGGCCGGGCGACCCATCAGTGGCCGGCGGCTCGTACGGCAGTGGGTAGCCCTCGCGGTAGGCCCACTGGCCCTGCGTGTGGACCGTGCGGAAGACTGAGTAAGTGGGGGCCCGGGGCCCAGGCTGGGGCTCAGAGGCGTGCCTCTGGAAGGAACGTCCAAACTGCAGGGCCTTGTCTTCTGTGGCAACCGTGGCCAGGCCTGCCAGGCCCTCCAGCTCCAGGTCTGCCTGCACGCCGGCCGTCACACTGTTGGAGCGCTTGAACCTTGCTCGCCTGGGGAGAGGGGTGGCTGTCATCCCCCATTGCCCAGGCTCATCCCAGTTCTCACCCCCACCCCAAGCCAAAAAAAAGGAAGGGAATGAGGAAGGGAACCTACAAAGTGATGGACATTAACCTATGCACTTTAAATATATTGGTCCTGGCCAGGCGCGGTGGCTCACACCTGTAATCCCAGCACTTTGCGAGGCCGAGGTGGGCGGATCATGAGGTCAGAAGATCGAAACCATCCTGGCTAACACGGTGAAACCCCATCTCTACTAAAAATACAAAAAATTAGCCGGGCATGGTAGCGGGCACCTGTAGTCCCAGCTATTCGGGAGGCTGAGGCAGGAGAATGGTGTGAACCTGGGAGGCAGAGCTTGCAGTGAGCCGAGATCCGCCACTGCACTCTAGCCTGGGCGAGAGAGCGAGATTCCGTCTCAAAAAAAAAAAAAAAAAAAAAAAAAATATATATATATATATATATATATAGGTCCTTGCAACAGTTATGTACATAATATACCTACCTATTGCACTGCCTCTAGACAGGGGTGACATCCATACTATTTAGCAATCAGTTCAGTCCATGGACAGAGCAGATGCTGGCATACGCCAGGCAGAGCAGGCACAGACCAAAATGCTGCAGCAGTGCCCTGGAGAGGCTAGATTGTGGGGTGGGTCAGAGGAGCCAGGGTGGTGGCTCTTTACCAGTGAAGGCAGAAGTATTTCCATTTTTTTTTTCTCTTTTTTTTTTTTGAGATGGAGTTTTGCTCTTGTTGCCCAGGCTGGAGTGCAATGGCACGATCTCGGCTCACCACAACCTCTGCCTCCTGGGTTCAAGTGATGCTCCTGCTTCAGCCTCCTGAGTAACTGGGATTACAGGCATGCACCATTTGTCTCTTTTTGGAAGAGACAGGGTTTCTCCATGTTGATCAGGCCAGTCTCAAACTCCCAACCTCAGGTTATCTGCCCCCCTCGGCCTTCCAAAGTGCTGGGATTACAGGCATGAGCCACCATGCCTGGCCGAAGTATTTCAATATTTTAACAAATGCTATGTCTATGCTAGTTTACACCAGCTGCACTAGAGTGTCCTCAGCCCTACCTAGAGATGAGTAAACCAAGTCAACCCAGCTTCAAAGTAGCAGAGCCAGGATTTGGACTCAGGGCTGTTGGGCTCCACAGTCCAAGCACTTCGCACTGCACCAGCTGCTAGAACATCACAGGAAGAAATGCCTTGGAGCAGCTGCGGGTGGAGTGGGCCTGCAGCTGGGAGGACTTCTCTAGGGACCCGGATGGCTCAGCCCAGAGCCTGGCCAGACACAGTCAGTCAGTGCCAGTGGAGCTGAATTAAGTTATTTGCAGGAATGACATAGGGCTTGGAAATTTCTTGTTTTTGAGTTAATAATATGCAAATCTTATGCAAACCAGAAAGTCAACTGACCTTGTTCATTTTTTCCCTGAATTCAGAGTTCTTTTCTATAAAGAAGTCAGTGGTCCCTTAAGATGCATGAGGTTGGGACCAGGCAATACTTTAAGAAGTGGAAGCCAGGAGATGTGGGAGGTGGGGGATAAACAGAAGATCAAGGTTTGGAAATTCAAGGACCACAAAAGAAAAGCCTGTGTGTCCTGAGCTACCTCCACCCCTACATGGTCAGAAGGGATTGTGGGGCCAGCTCTAGGGGTCCCTCCACCTCCCCAAGAGACTCTCCCAACCCCCGCAACTTCAGCCTTCCTCTTGCTGCCCAGGCCTTCTCTCCCTGCCTGCCTGCCTACTTCTCTCCAGCTGGCAGGCTGCCTGCTGGGAGCCTGTTGCCATAGAAACCAGGCCCAGAAGGATGCTGCAGGACCCAGGAAGGAGAGATGCACTCATGTGCAGTCTCCAACGAGCCCTATGTCCCAACCCCCACCCAGAGAGGGAGAAGAAGAGAGAACATATCCTCATTGCCTCCCACACAGTCTTCCCCTCAGTGTCTGCCCTGTCCTGCCCTGGTCAAGGCTTGTACCACCATCTGCCCTGATGATTAAACTGGCCTCCTTTCAGATACCTCTGCCTCCATGAGTACCCTGCAGAGGAAGAGCATGGGACCAGGAGTTAGCTCTGAGTTCTAATGCTGGCTTTGTCACTGTGTGCCTTTGTCACTCACCCTCCATCTAGGTCGTCCAATGTGTATGTGTATGTACTTAAAATATATATATAATTAGATATAAATATACACACATATATACATCTAAAAATACACACATATATACAATTATAGAAATAGATAAGTAATTGCCAAGGTAACTCCTCTCTCTAAAATTATATTTTGCATATTTTAAGATCTGGGGCCCTCCCCAGTCCACCCAAGACTGGAATAGTCTTCCTAAAGCTGAGCTCTGCCAAGTCATTCCCCTGCTCAAAACGCTTCCACAGTCCCCTACTACCAACAAGACAAAGTTCAGACTTCCTGTACCAGCATTATCTGAGGCCCTGATGCCCTGGACACAGTCCTCCTCTTCAACCTCATCTCCCCCACATTCTCCTTGTTCCCCAAGTTGACTCCAAGTCTTTGCACATGCTATTTACCTGCCTGAAATGTCCATTCCCTGCTTAAGTCCTGTTTCACCTGTTTCAGCCCCCTCTGCCCCCAAGACCACTCCTGAGTACCACACCTCCCTCAGCAGTCCTCCTGGCTTCACAGGCAGCCCTGCCGTTCCGGCAGATTGTTCTTTCTGGGGAGAGTCTTGCGTGTCTAACTGCAGTTAGGATGCACCTTGACTTGCTTTGAATGTGCGTGTGCCTTTGTGCTCTAGTTAGCTTGTGGCTCCTTCAGAGCTACAGCTGTTGCAAACCGCAAAGGTAATGGAGGGGTGTGCTCCAATAAATACGTGCCTGATGATCTGCCACGCCTGCGTGCTTTCCTGTCACCCCTGCTAAACACAGCTCTGTCCTTCGGCACTGCCATGTTCGCTGCCTTCCACCTGTCCTCTGAGATGTCCTGAGAGAATCCCATTCCATCGCGATGGAAACAGTATGGAAACAGCCATACTGCCGGGAACAGAAGCACCAAGTGCCCCGGGCTGCATGCTTCTCAAGTCACTGCCTCAGTGAGCTCTCTCACATGTCTGCCTCAAAGGAGACCAAGGAAGTCGAGGAGCCGATGGGATGACCGGAAGCACAGTCCTCACCAACGCTCCCGGCCAGCAGCCAGAGATGTGTACAGCACAAGCAGGAGGTGCTCATCCCTATGCAAGTGGCATTTAAAACCAGCAGTGTGGGACAAGCTCACCCAAGAAAAGAACAACGGATCCAAGATCCAAACCCCGGGGAAACATGGACATTTCAGGGGTGGGTGGAGATGGTGCAGCTCATAGAGGAGTCTAAGCTGGAAAGGAAGAGGGAGAAAACCAGCAGAAAGTGACATAAAAGCAGAGAGGGGACAGAAAGGTCTCATGATGGAATGGGCAGCTAATATGGAAAACGCAGCCAGTTAAGAATGAAAGGTGCCCACGGATTTGGCAATCTGGAAGCCACGGGTGATCCAAGCAAGAGTGGGTTTGGTGGAATGTGGGGGCAGATGCAGACTGCAGCAGGTTGTCAGGAGGTGGAGAAAACGAGTCAAGGCAACCCTCAAAGAGCCTGGCTGAGAAGGGAGGAAGGCAGAAGAGAATGTACTGTTAAAGAGGGTTATTTTGTTTTGGGTGCTTCTTGCTTGCTGTATCCCAAGAGGAAAGAACCTGTAGGCAGAATAACAGCCACCAAAGGAATCCACATCCTAATCCCCAGAACCTGTGAATATGTCACCTTCCACAGCAAAAAAGGAATTTGCAGATGTGATTAAGTTAAGGATACTAAGAAGAGGAGACTCTCCTGGATTATCCTGGTGTAATCACATTTTGTAAATGAAAGAGGGAGGCAGCAGAGTCAGAGAAGAAGATGGAACGACAGAATCAAGGTTGAAATAATGCAACCTGGGGACTCAGCCCACCACTGCTGGCTCTGAAGACAGAAGCAGGCTGCAAGCGAAGGAGTGCGGTCAGCCTCTACAAACTGGAAAAAGTGACCAAATGGATTCTTCCCAGAGCCTTCCAGAGTCCAGTTTGAAACCCCATTGAGACTCTGACCCCAGATAATAAATATGCATTGTTTTCTATCACTGAATTTATGATCATTTTTTTCAGCAGGAATACGAAATTAACACAACCTGTAAAGAGAAATGGAATGAAGAGAGAGAAGAGAGAAGGAACCAGATATAAAGGGGATAAAAAAGAATAACATCTTCTGAGCACTTAGTATGTGCCAGGAGAAGAACTTTCCATGAATAAACACGCTCAGTCCTCACAAACAGTCCCACTCTATGGGTGTTAGTATCAGCCCTACTAGTAGATCAGAAAACCGAGGCTTAAGGGGGTTGACTCCTAAAATGAAGGCAGGGCTGGTGGAAGAGACAAGGGAAGATATCTAAGTAAGCTGGGGTTTGGCTTGGAAGTGGACAGAAGTCCCACCAGTTGACCCCAGTCATCACAATGAAGTGGGTGAGGAGGGGTGGTTATCTGCTGGAGATGTCTGGGGAGTAGGGAAAGGAATGAAAATGAGCAGCTTTAGTGGGGGCATTAGAACAGAGCGGTTAGGCCTGTGTGCTCTGGAGCCTTGCCCGGGTCCAAAACCCAGCTCTGTGGCTTGTGCCTCATTTCCCCATCTGTAAATGAGAATGATAATAGTAACAGTTCATAAGATTGTTGTGAGATAATATCCATAAAGAACTCAGAACAGCACCCTGCCTGCCCATTGTGTTAGCTATTCTAGAGAAGTAGAATGGTTTGCAGCTCTCACTGAAAAGAAAGGGAGCTGGACAAACACAATCATCGGAATGTAGCACTGAGAACCCGGCTAGGGCATTGTAGTTATTAATTATTATGATTGCTGTTGATCATTTCCATCTGTTCTCCCACAGCGCTTTGAACAAAACTCTTTTATACTCCATATCACATTGTATCATGGCTGGTTATTTGCATAAGTGTCTCCTCACTAAATA